GCGAGTTGGTTACGTGTCAAGCGGCGCTGCTGTACTTCTTGCGTTGTACAGTCGAAACTATTCTCTTCACATAGATTTGGGATCACTGGAGCTGAGGCAGAGCTTAACGGAAATATATTAGGAAGCCACTGTATGGATGTTGTTGCCGGATTATTCTGCGTCTGTACATCGCTAATTTTACATGTGTCCACATGTTGCGAACGACTATATCGCAGGTTTGGGACGCGTTGTCCGCTGTCATCGGAATCGCTGTCGGTAATGATGCATGGGGGTAATGATGCATCGAAGGAGATCTTTGCGTTTATTTAAGAGCTCCTTTCTCTGATTTATAATATCCGCTTCTTCCTTGAGAATTTTCTCTTCCTCGCGCAAACGAATCTTACTACCTGCTGATGCTCGCGACGAATTGGAACGAATAGATCTTGCTGGACTGGAAGGACGATACCGTTCCCCTCCTAGCTGCATCTCTGCGTTTATTGGCTGATGTGGAGGTCGCGCATACTTTGTCTTCGCCGGCACTTTTGACACCGCACCGGTGGTGATGCTACCTTGGCAATTAAGGACATTTGCACCCATTAGCATCAAAGAGGTTGCGTCGATATTATTTTGAGCAAAAAGAGATTGCTGCAGCGATATGTTGTCTATGAAGCTTTTGTAATTTTCAGGCGCTGCGGTTGATATTTGGGTAATTTCAGACGTGCCCAAGTTCCCGCTAGTAGCGCCTGATGGGTATGAGGCAGATGCATCATTGTCAGAGGTTTTCTCAGAATCTCGTACAACAGCCACATTTTTGCCCGGCTCCGCTGCAACATCAGCGGAAGAACATATTTTGCAAACCCACCGTNCAGCGATATGTTGTCTATGAAGCTTTTGTAATTTTCAGGCGCTGCGGTTGATATTTGGGTAATTTCAGACGTGCCCAAGTTCCCGCTAGTAGCGCCTGATGGGTATGAGGCAGATGCATCATTGTCAGAGGTTTTCTCAGAATCTCGTACAACAGCCACATTTTTGCCCGGCTCCGCTGCAACATCAGCGGAAGAACATATTTTGCAAACCCACCGTTGTCGGTTCACATTGCTCCCAACGCCAACACATTTCCGATGGAACTTCTTCTTGCATTTTTGGCATTTTATCAGCAATTGTAAACCTTCATGGTGGTGCCAGTGATTTGTTTTTCCTCTGACATTGTGCTTAGGGAAAGTTTTTTAAAATGTTGACTTTTCTTAAACGTGCCCTTTATTTTGTATTATACTTTAAATAACAATTAATATCAAATATTCAGTAATACTTTAGCTACGTTAAAAAACTTGTCTTTGTCTCCCGACTGCCAAAAAAGTCCTTGCCAATACTCGCCTGTCAATTATTCGAACTTCTCCCGATTTCACATAGCAAATGAGAACAGCCAATCAGCGACCGCCACGATGACAGTGAGTTTGAAGTTGGTGAGAAACGTCAGAGGTCAAAGACGTTGCCGGATCTTGCAACAATGGTTTTGTTCTGACAAGTAACTATAGCACTTTTGATGTTTTTATATAAAAAATGATTGTAATTGTTTTTTTTTTT